TTCATCTATTATTACATCTATTTAAAATTAAGTAGGTAATAAGCGAGATAATACAGATAAATGTATAACAACTAATTCCCATCAACAACATTTAGCTACTGCTTCCTCCTTTAAAAAACATGTCAATTTCTTCTAAACCACTTACAAGCTTTAAGGCAAACATTAGCAGTTACTCTAGTCTGGTACTTAAAATAAACATTAGCAGTTACTCAGAAGTGCCAATCACAAGACCCCTTAGGTTTCAGTCTCAATTCTGACTTGAAGATCTCCTTACCAAAAAATGATGCTCTACACAATAAATGAGCAGACAGAATTTCAAGCAACATATTCTTTCTTTTTTCCCCTTTAAGGTACAAACTGTACAGAAAAACCAAGTTCAAATTCAATTTACTATACTCCTTCATAAATGCCAAGTATTTCCCAGGTAGCATTTAAAGCCTCCGAAGTACCAGGTCTCGTTCGGTCTTATTGCTTCTGAGAAGGCAGAACATGAAAACTCTGCTGACGAACAGAGAGGTCCCAAGTTTCCTTCAAAGCACAGAACTGTGCAGGGTGCAGAACTAAATTTCATGTCAAAGTACAATACACAGTGGAGTGAGGATTCCTCCCTGCAATTTATTGCATTCTGTGAAGGAAACTAATAGTCATCATCTCCTCTGCCAGAATATTAAGATCAGAGACACACAGCAGGCATAAGAAGAAAACCATTTACCAGTTATGAGCAAAGAATCAAAACTAAAAATAAAGCAACAGTAGCATGGCTAATTTGTTACTTGTTAACTACAGAGTATGAAACTTCATAACTTCTTTAGGATTTTGGGTTAGGTTTTGGGGCAACAGAGTAAGACTCATTTCTATAACAAGCAAGTTATACTAGCATATTAATGTGTCCAAAAACCATATTACAAAGGTTATTTGGTTGGGGTCTTTTTATTTAAATCAAAGTCTTGAAAGTAACCGAATCAAGATTGACTGACACCTGCCATTGCTTTCTTCATTAAGGTTATTTTCACTCTGAAATTTTTACCTGCAGGTAACATGTAAATTTTCAGTACCATGTATTGAAAACTGCTCAGGCTGAAGAGGTGCAGTATCTACACATTTAGTTTGGCATCAAGAAATGTCTTCTCTACCATACAGTTTTTGACTTTTTGACAATTTTTGACTTTTACATAGTTGCTCCTACTACTCTAAGTATACAACATTGAAGTCTGGCTTTCCACAGTAGTCATGGCAGTTTATCCAATGACCCTTGCAAACTCTTTGTTAGTGTGAACGTTTTCACTCACTTGGCCTTTCCAGTTTTCTCACTGGATGAAATTTTCTTTCTGTATTTAACTTACTTTAGAATAATTCATGCCTGTACAAAAGGCAATGTAAACTGAGGCTACTTTATGAACTTCACAGTGTATATTCACAACAAAATAATAAAATTATGAGCCAGAGTAGGCATTTCCTCAACCATCTTCTTTAGGAAACATATACATTTCTTTTACCTTTTTTATTACAGCAGAGAAAATCAACCAGATGTTCAACGTAAATATTGAAATAGTGAGTTGAAATATTACATAACTATAAAATAGGGATCATATGTTACCATGACATTGGTCCCAAGGCACTGAAACCTATGTATTAAAAAACTAACTAATTTTGGAGTCCTGATGACATGATTTCATCTTTAGGTTACTGACTAATTCACTTTGAACAACAGTTCTATTAGTAACCTCTTCTGAAAACAGACACCCAAGGGATTTTTTTCTGCGTCAGAAACCCAATTCCACACTTCACTATAAACTTAAGATATTTCTCAAATATTGAAGAAAGCTGAATTAACTATTTAATAAAAAAAAACAAAAAAAAATGCCCACATCATATTGTAAATGCACTTTACACTTTAGTCTTCATTTCTGCAACAAACTTTTCCAACTGCATTACTAAAAGAGTAAGAAAGACAGTTTGCACACTTAAATGTTTGGGGCAAAGCCAGTGGCAATAATGACTGGTGAGCTTTCCTAAAATCAGAGAAACAAACTAGCAGAAGATTATACTTGTGTATGGAAATATAGTGTACAGCTGCTGCAACAGGTTATCCAACATCTAAGCATCTTCACTGCTTCATTATGGAAAAAACAGACTTCATCTTCAGGCTACATTTAAAGAAGATCTATAGCTAAATTTGATGCAAATTCCATTGTTAGCTACAACTTCTGCTAATTATTATTGAGGCAAATCACTGAAGGATTGCAGGAATGGCCTGCACTAAGTTTTTACTCCCACAAAGGACACTGCAGAGAAAAACTGCCTGCAAACACTCCCTGTAGGCATTGCTATCACACCTCTACTCCCAATATTGGCCAGAGGTCCACTATGGGCACTTGGGGCTCTGAAGAGACACTGCACTCAACACCCTTAATGATAGATCAGTGTTAGGCAATCATCTGTAAGTGTGTGCAGACACATATTAAAACCTTCAGATAAAGCATGTGTATGAGCATCCAACAATCACAGAAAAGCATAACAGAATGAGTTTCATTATTAAGAACCTCAGTTGTGCATGACTAAGGCAGATTTACGAATTCACCATGAACTTGGAAATAGTCCACTGCATCCAGCTCTGCAATTAGACAGAAGATGAATTCATCATAAATTTTAATGCTGTTGTATGAACCTAACATAAAATTCTTCAGCAATAACAGGATCTGGTGTACAATCCTAACAGTAGTTAACCCTAGGAACTGGAAGACCTTTTGGACATTGCTTTTTTCTATGTCTTCCTGAACCAGCTTGATGCTCTCAGCTAGAAGCCCATTTAACTACTTTACTTAGCTTCCACCTCAAAAAGCCTGCTGATGGAAAGGCAGAGGAAGCAGGTACTTGCAGAAACAATATCAGAACACCATGAACCCAGAAGACCCTCACCAACACAAACACTGAGGACCAGCTAGGGGAGCTTCCCTTTGTGAGAACCATACCATGCAGGGGTAGACCACCATCTACATAAGCCTGAGCAATCTTTGTCTAGACAACAAAAAAAGCTGGTTCACTGCTCCCAAATTACATCCACAAAACAAACCTGAACCCCATCATAATTTACATAAGTACATATTATGGGGAAAGCAGTCTTCAGTGCTTGGGCTACTATCTCCATCAATAGCACTAGGGAGTTTTTACACTGTATGAATTCCAGCCACAAGCCTTATAGGATAAGCAGAAGTTTGAGCAGAATGATTAGGCTCTGACCAGCAGAGAGCAGTTTAGCAAACACATTTCAGTGAGTACCATGTATTTTAGGTTTGGTTTGGAGTTTTGTAGGGTTGGTGTTTGGTACTTTTTATATTAAGTTTAGAAGAGAACTTTACTGAACTTAGTTATACACGTCATTTTGCTCTTTTCTGATACATAACTTCCACAACACTCAAGAAGAAACTGCTTCCTGAGACACTGGAGTCTTTCTGAAATGACCCAGCCCAGCCCTTACAGGGAAAAAAAAAATCAAAACAGAAAAGTGCATGAGATGATTCTCACAACTCAGAATCTCCACAATTCCCCCTCCCCTCTAAGTTAAGTCTCATATTTATCTGACTCCTGTGTGAATATTGCCTGTATTCTTCAGTTAACTCTAATGATCTAATTAAAACAAGAATGTCAAGAACAATTTAAGCCAGGGTAACATGATATATTTTTGCTTTTCACATCTTGAGCCTTAATAAAAAGAATGGTTTTCACCTGAACCTTCACCTTTAACCAATTAAGAGAAGAATAAAACTAAACAGAAATTTTCCATTGCAGGACAGAAATCCCAAAATATTATGACTCTTATGACTGTGCTACCAGTTAACAACTGGAGACTACTTCCAGGGAAGGATGCTAGTTAGACCAAAGTGCTCAAACAAAAAACAGAATAATCATTTTGAGTGAACTTGTCATAGCTAAATATTGAGCAAAAATATTATCTTAAATTTAAAAATTTAATAAAACCTCCAAACAATACTTTTCCACAGTCACACAGACCTCTTACAAATATCAACCATCTGTTGAACTTAACAATTTCTAGAAAACTATGTCACACAATCCACCAGGAGAAAGACTTCTTTCAGGGATACAGTTTGTGACAGTCTCTCAGACAATACTTAAAAGACATCATGTTTGTTTTCCCAATAGTTCCTTGGTTTCCATACAGCAAGAGGAAAAGAAAAGCACAGAGACAAGAAACATGTCTGTAAAAAGCAGATGTCTATGTTACATACATTTACTGCTATGTCTATCAACAGACTATTTATGTTTTGGGTTTGTAAGGAATGCTTTGGTTTTTTTTGGTCTTGCACAATACAAATTTAATCTATACATTGCAAAAGAGATTCCTTCCGGATAAAAACATCGTTAAAATTGCACAGAGTTTCTGTATTTCTTTTTGTACTAACCAATGATGTAACATGAACCTACAATTTCTTCTTAACTGGGAGAGAGTAGGATACAGTTTTTACTGATGAAACAATACTTTTGTATATTTATGAATCAAAGAAAGTCAAGAGATAAAAAACAAAAAAACACTGATGCCTTTGGTGAAAAGACTAAGCTTATGCCTATAGGACACTTACATTAGAAAGACAGGCTTTGGTACAGTATTTTTGTTGGTTTTAAACAAAGACAGGAATTTTCCTGAAACTGCTTTTCCACCCAACCTATTGTAAAGAAACTGCTACTTGACAGCTTACAGGGAACAATGACTGCCAGTATGAGCAGGCTGTACTCATTTAAATGAAAACCTTAAAACCCCCTGATGCAGTTTGTTATTTCCTTCAGTAATTTATTTGACTTTTGAAGCAGGCTCCCTGTCAGGCTGAGGTGCTGCTCTCACAGCATCCCTGCAGTGTGCTACAGCTGCACCCCTGAGCGCTCTGCAGCACTCCAGCCATGCCACATCCTGCATCCCACATCCAAACCCGCTGCCTACCACAGGCACATCACCCTGTCCCAGCAAACTGAAACCTTCCTCTTACCTCTACCTCCTTGCTCTTCTCTTTGTTTGTGCCCATTGAACTTCTCCCATTGCTGGCAGTCTCCCGCGCTGGCACTACAGAAATCTGCTGGAGTGGCATTCTTACAGAGCTGCAGGTTGCCAGTACCTGTTTGGATGCCTTATATCTTCACTCCCCCCGAGTAGCCCACCTGTATAATTGTTCATATCCTCTCTTTGCCAAGCTCAGCTCTAAATAAAAAGGGGAAAATATTATTTGAGAAACGGTGAAGGCAGGGTCTTCCATCAAAAGAAAAAAAAATAATCAACAAAGCAGAGCAAATTGCAAACACAAGCGAGACACAGCAAACAAAGAAGTAAGGCACAACAATCCAGGGAGTTTCACACGCTCAGAGTGATGAGTTGCTGCAAGTCTGTGTCCCTGGAGCACCCTGCCATAGCACTAGCCCCCAAGAGCACTGTGGGAGACAATTCAATTTCTGTGTTACCTAATAACTGTCATGGAAACCAAGGAAACCCAGGTCTCACAGGCCCTGATCAGCGACCGCTTCCCGCTACCGGCACCGGCTCCCACATTTGCAGCAGCTGACACTTCTGCTTTTGTCTCCCCTCCGATCCCACCGAGCACCCCAGACACTGCCTCGTGCCCGCTAGGTGCAGCAGCAGAAGGCTGAAAAGCTTAGTGTCCTATTTTGGAGGCGAAATCTTCTCCTTTAAAAGCACAGGAGAGCTTGCTGTGTCCTTCATGCGTCTACAATAATCTGCTTAGGTCAAGGGATCTGCCTTGAAGTGAGGAGTAGCGGTGAGCAAGCGAGGTGTAAAAAGGAAGACAAGACTGGGAGGGATTGCAAATGTGCCTTTCTGAGGTTGATAGTAAAAAGTTAACCCTTTGCTGCGCTCCTCTTTTGCCGAGACTTGCCCAGAAGCCAGCTCAGCAGGATGAGCAGAGGCAGACACACATGTGCCTTTATAGTAGTCACACACACCCCGAGAATGTCACCTATGTCAGCTTCTCCCTCCCAACAGCTTCACTGCTCGCAGTCACTCTGGAGCAAAACACTCAGGAAAACTGTTTCAGCATTTCCCCTCCCCTTAAAATGCAAAACAATAGAAGAAAGTCCCAGGTGTTGTATTACAAAAATAGATATGAAGAAAGGAAACTCCTGTTGTTTCTACTTCTCTAAAAAAATTATTATTCTTCATAAGTATTAGGAATGCCAGCAAAACTGGTTTTGATTAAAAATAGTAAAGAAATTATTAGATCAGAAGCCAAGTTCTTAGCTGCATAAATTATTCTGTATAAATAATGCAGGAATAAAAGAAAAAAAATCACCCACTAGGCACCAACAATGTTTTAATATGCTGTCAATTAAAAAAAAAAAAATTACCCAAGCCCTGAAATACATCATCTTTATTTCCAGCTGTACAGAACAGCACTTAGAATTCTGACAAGAAATAATAGCATTATAAACAGCCTGGATTCTCTTACAAAGCCAGTGGGGAGGATTTAAAATACTGTTGATTCACTACTCCACTACTTTAGTTACTGTTTCTCAGTCTGAATTAATCGAGCTTACAAGGGACTAGCCTGAGATAAATTGAGATCTGGTTCAGACTGCCATCCTGGTTTTACATCACTGATTTAAACTAAGGTATACTGACTGGCAGTAAGAGAAGAGTTTATCAATGCATAAACAAAGAAACAATCTGTGCTAGGAGTTTAGAGATGCTGCAAGAATTGAGTATATGTGCGCATCTTTATAACACATATATATTCTATATATCTATAGTCATGCAACAGATTTACAAATAATAAAATTAAATCTATCACCATTTACACAGCTCATTTTACACATTTTTAGCTATATGTTACATGATTATTCCATTTTTAATTTCCAATATTCCAAAATCAGTTTGAATGTAAGTTTAAACAACTTCCAATGTGCACAGGGAGATTTGAAATATAAATAAAGGGAAAAAAGACAAGTTCCAGCTCTACCAAGACACTGGTAAATCAAAAATTTATTGCAGAAATATTCAAAGACAAGAAATGTTATATATCAAGCTAGTAAAGTTTAACTTTAATCTTAAACTTGATGATAATGTAAAGGAAATTCCTTTTTAGTTCAATAGAATGTTTTAAAGCCACAGACAAACTCTTCTCCTTCCTCTGAGGCACAACCAGATTAAGAACTCCCAAACCTGACTCTGCTTTGTCATGATAATCACTCACGTCTTTGATAAAAATATCGATAGAAAAGTAGAGGATTTGTGGTATTAAAATGGAACCTTCCTGTAAATGTGCTTTCATGTCTAGTAAAGCTTAAAAAAGTCAACCTGCCTTTTGATACTGTGCCAATAATTCTTCATTTGAGATCATATGAACTTGAGATTTAAATCAGAGATTTCTGGGTTAACCAGTAATCTCTTTAATCCCATCTGTTTTAGCCAGAATAAAGACCTTACAGGGCGTGATGTACTTAGTTCTTTCTAAAATGATGCATGGCCCCTTTCTTCCCCCACAGTGAACCCATGACATCAATATGTATATAACAAAACCCCCTAGTTCCAAACAAGGGCTGAATTTTAACATTAGGTAGCTCCATGCTTGCGTTCTGCTTCACTATTTCACTAATTATTAATTTCTTCACCACATGGAGACTTCAAATTCTTGTGCAATTGCCTTCCCTGTACATATATGGCTCTTCTCAGCCTAAGTGCTACAACAAGTGGCAGAACAACCAAGCCTCATGCTGCTATATCCAGAAATACAGAGATCACCACTGCTCCATGGTAAGGAAGCTGTTAAAAAATACAGGACATATCCAGATGCATATTGTAAAAGTCGGTGGCAGAGGTGTGGTCAGGATCATTTTTCATTAGAATTAAGTTTAGTTTTCTGTCTTTGCTTTTTCAAGTTTACTATGACAGAATTATAAAACATAAAACTTTTGCACAGGTGTTAATACACCTATGATCTCAGAACACCAGAGCACATCTTAAACAAAACTATTGATTTCAATTTACAATGTGTTTTTAGCTCCCAGAGTCTCCAAGTTATAAACAAAGTAATTTTATATATACACACACAACCCTTCTTGTTAGAAAATCTATTTACTCCGACTCATCCTCCACAGCTAACAGGCTGTGGTGTCCTATTTAAAGAACGCCAATTTTGGCAAATGTACCACCCAAAGAGTCGTAATTTCAGAGCCATGCCTCACCTGAAGGACAGTGTGACAGCTGCTCAGTGAAGTATGAAGCTGCTGTGCAAAGCAGCATTATAGGGTTTTAGTCTCAGGAGGGCAACAATAACAAAAGAGAACTGCTCACCTGAGCAGGTGAAAATGACATTGGCAGAGAAAAGGAGTATGTGTTGGCTGTGCATTAGTAATTGATTTACATTAATGTGATTCACAGGTCTTGAAGCAAGTAACTACAGAAAAGAGAAGCACCACCCCTCCCTTCTCTTGTTTATTGCTCAAAACCCTACTAATCTCAACTCAGATAAGCCAAGGAATCCAACTTTATTTTCAGTCACCCAACACATTCCCCTTGGTACATACTTTATGAAGAGTACCAGTCAGATCTTGGTGACCATGAAGGAAACTAAAAGGAATAATTTCCTGGTGTCTCACCATGTGGGTCTGTTCCCTAGCTGTGGACTACCCCTTGTTCCTGCTCTCACCTGCAACACATGAAATCCTTTCACCTATTCCCTCCACACATGGGTCTGAGGGCACGGTGTCCTCTCCCACACCCAGGACACATACATTCCCAAAACATCCCTAGAGGCACTTCCATGAGGATCTGGGAACAAAAAGGGATCAGAATTATAACCCGACATACACACGTACTGTGTTATTAGTTTCATTTAATAAGGAGCTCATCATCTTCTAAGCACACCCATTTACACAAGACTACTGCTTTGAACTATCAAGACAATCTGATCAGCTATGGTTAATGGTTCAACCACGGCGATGCAAGTGCCAATGAGAGAATGAAAGACAGCAATACAATTCTTTTGTAACACAATTGCAAGGAAACAATGTACTAGCATACCAGCAGCTCACTGGCTGCTTATATATAATAGCTCTGCTTATATATAATAGCCCTGCCATCACTTACAGAAAAATTTGTACAAAATTCTTGAATTCAAAAAAAAACATAATAAGTTTACCTGCATAAATAACACTATCAGAAACAGGCAATTCTAGCTCTTTTTTACTCACACAAAATCATCTTTAGATAAGATGTACTGCAGCTTTTATATGATCTTTCAGCAAATAGCTATATTGAAGTGTTAAAAAAAATCATTGCGGACATAAAACACTTACAAGTTGGTTGTTTGGACTCCACATTATTTGTCAAAAAGACACATCGGCTACAAATACACAATATACAAAAGGGTATAGATATATAGTCTATACTCCTGAGATTTAGGAATGACTTTCACCTTCCCCAAAAATTAAAGAGAAGAGTTACTAACACTGTGCATGGCATTCTCCCTTTACCAACAAGGATTGCTTCTCTTGCAATCACAACTTAGGTACAGAGACAGAAGTCAGAACTCTACAGCAGCTGTGGAAGCAGATGGATACTAGCAGGTAATCAACTGGCATGACTACAGTCACTTTATCTAGCAGAAGCTTCTAACACCTAAATTAAAAGTGCAACAAGCAATAGTCTAATGCAGACCAAACAGGACTGCTGTAAACCAATTCCTTGGGCTTCCACAGCATCCTGAAGCTGACACTAGAACCAAATAAAGTTTTCAGACAAAAATGAAAAATTCCTTTAGATTTTCTCCCAACTCTTAAGCCTACAGGAGTACAAAGTTAGTCATGGAATTAGGGCAAACATGAAAGATATCTTTGGCCAAGCACAAATATTCCAAAGCAGCAGATTCCAGATGGGAATGGGTTTTCCTATCTGGAACAAGAGGAAAACCTCTTGTTCTCTGCTGTCTGAATGAGTATGTCCTAAATACTGCACTGTACTGTGGACTGGCTTTACATGGAGGAGCATCAGGAATCCAAGTTTTCAGCAGAACTCATGTTCAAGTAAGTCCTTAGCAGAAGCAAACTTTAAAAGTTATTTTAAA